AGGCGCGGCTCCAACTAGAAAACAATGTTTTGATGCATTGGATGTGCTGAATGTGCATATTAAGGCAGTACAGGAGGAGGTGCACATTAATAATCCTCCAGGACTGTAACATGCTCATGTTTAACCCAAACAATGTGTCATGTGACTGCAGTTGCTTCACATCCAGGTCAGAACACGTTCTCACCACAAACAAACCGCACCAGAGTTCCTTTGGAACCGGACTGAGACCACCTCTTCAAGAAGGTCTCGGTCCGGTTGTTTTGGTGTGTTCACACCTGCCCAATGAACCGCACTGAGGGGGCAAACACACCTGAGTTAGACTGAACCGAACCAAACAGGGCAGGTGTGAACGCAGCCTGAAAGTTTGCTTTCACTCACAAACAGCTGTTCCTCTCAACCATCGATCTGATATGATCAGCTCTGAATGGATCGACGGATCAATTATCCACCTCACCAGCCAGAAACTGCTGCTGAGCAAAGAACTCATGCAGCGCTCACAAAAACCTCCAAATTTAGAGACAGGGCACAAAATGACTAAGTGGAGTGAGATGTCGTCCAGGCAGGTACGCTGCGTTTCATCTCATTAACTGCACCGTCAAAACTATTTCCACATTTGTGATTTATTCCCAAGTAAACCTCATCGTCTTTATCTCGGATGCTCGCCATCTGCCTGCTGCTGTTTGACAGTGACACAGACTTTCAAAATAAAAGCATCTCTTAAAGCTGATGATACAGATCAATGTTTTATTTTGCATCAATGATACTGGAGCATTGTAGGGTTGCAGCGATATACCGGTTTCAAGGTATCCCATGATATAAAAGTTGACGGTTATCATACTGTGTACATCTGCTTATCTACGATACTGAAAGAACAAAACAAAACAATCTCCCCTTTATTTTCGGAATTTTCTAAAGGGGGAAACGTTTTACACAAACTTCCAGTAACAAAATAATTTCAAGTTTCAATTCTAGTAATAAAATGTTTGTTTAACCAAAAATATCTCCTCCATTTTCCTTCCTTTAGGGCTCATTCTGACTGATAACAATATAAACTCTGTGATACTGTGAAACTGCTATATTTTCTGAGGCCGTTATCATACCGTGAAAATCTTATGCCGCTGCAACCCTAGGTCATTGATCATTACACTGATACATACATCAAAATCCATGGATCGTCACACCCTTAGTTATGAATTCTGATGACGTGACATAAGTAAAGTCAGTAAACACAACCGGGTTTCTGATCCAAGTTTATCTGCATCATGTCACTGAATGCAGCCACACTTTGGAACATGGAGTGATGTCAAAGTCTTTCACTGAATAAATCTGTTTTATCCACTCACTGACTGACTTTGACATGAACAATCACAATCTTACATTTTTGTGGGTTTATAATATTTGTCTGTTGATTTAACATCCTTGACTCTAAAGGGCCGTGTCCACCAAAGTATTTTTCTGAGGCCAGTATATTTTTTAATATTTTACAACAGGAGTTACAAACGCCAGGAAACAGCTGGCTGTTTGGCGTTTTAAAGCCTCCGACTGGGCGATGGTGTCATGTTTCAGGTTATCCGTCCATCAGCACACCCCGTTCTGGCAAATGCCATATCTCAAAAATGCCTTGAGGCAATTCCTATAAATATGGCACAAACATCCACTTTGACTCAGTGATGGAGCGATTACAATTTGGTGGTCAAAGTCCAATGTCACTATGGCCTCATGTCCTTCTCATTCTCGTGAATGCAATATCTCAAAGAGGCCTCGAGGGAATTCCCTCAAATTTGGCAAAAACGTTAACTTGGACTCAACAATGAACTGATTAGATTTTGGTGGTCATATGTCAAGGTCAAGGTCACTGTGACCTGCTCCTTCTAATTCTCTATCTGTACGTAGTATGTACGTCTGTCCAACTTGTAATGAGATATTTCAAGAACGCTTCAAGGGAATTTCTTCAAATTCGGCACAAGCTTTAATTTGGACTCAACAATGAATTGACTAGTTTTTGGTGGTCATGGGTCAAAGGACAGGGTCACTGTGACCTAGTCTGTCTCATTCTCAAAAAAGTTATATCTCAACAACGCCTTGAGGGAATTCCTTTAAATTTGGCACAAACGTCCACTTAAACAGGAGGATGAACTGATTAGATTTTGGAGGTCTCAGGTCAAGGTCACTCTGACCTCACAAAACATTTTTGGCCACACGTCAAGAGTATATACACTTAATATGACATCATTTCACACAAATGTCTAACAGGATAAAATGATGAAGATGAAGTTCAAAGGTCATTTTCAGCTGGTGGAAAAAAAAGGCTTTGGTGGACGCAGTGCCAAAATTAAATATTTTTGCACTCTAAGAAAAAACATCATCAGGAAAATACAGTCACATGTACCGCAACACTCAGTATATCTTTCAATATACACATCAAAGTCATCTATCTGTGTTGTTCTACAGTCACAGAGACCTTCAGTGGTAAAACCTTCAGTGGGAGTTTATCCCTATTGTTAACATATGGAAACATCCTCTCAGTGAAAGTGTGTGTGAAGGTGTGTATGTGTGTGTTAGTATCAGGATCAGAGAATGACAGTTTTCCTCCGTTACAGTCCAGATTGACTCTGATCCTCTGGAGCTGCCTCTCAAAGGAGAGAGCAGTGTCTTGATGTGGTGGGGAGACTGCTGTGTATTCACCAGACCAGAACCATATTCTCCATAATCCAGAGTGTATGACTCCTTTCCTCTGGACAGACTCTGCTAACACACCCAGTTCCCAGTATGTATTGTCTCCAACCTCGACGTCCCAGCTGTGAGTCCCTGAGTTAAAGCCCTCAGAGCCCAGGACACACCAGTAGTTTAACCTCTCTGGATTATCAGGAAGCTGCTGCTCCTCCTCTGCTCCTCTCACACTGGTCAGATCTTCAGACAGGATGAGATATGGACCAGCAGTGTTTGGGTCCAGGATCAGAGGAGTGTAGGAGACCATGTCCTTCATCTTGTTCCAGATGTTGAAGGTCAGGTTGCCCAGGTGTTTGGCCTCGTCTATCAGAGCTCCTGAGAGCAGCTGTGGATCATCCAGCAGGGGGCGCTGCTGGACTCTGTCCACTGCAGCCTTGTAGTTGAGCAGGAATGAGACGTCTTCAGCTCTCAGCTCGTCCTCTGTGGCTCTGGCTGTGTCTGAAAGAGCTGCTATCTCTCTGCTCAGAGCCTCCATCTTCTCCTTCATCATCTGACTCTTCTGCTCCTCTTCCTCCCTCAGTGCAGCCATCCTGGCCTCCTCTTCCTCCTCTAGAAACTGGTGAAGCTTCTTGAACTGCTCCTTAATCTGCCTCTCTGTGCGTCGGGCCTGGACCTTCATGTGTTCTGCTGTTTGTTCACACTTCACTTTAACTTGTTCACAAACCTTTAACTTCTCCTTTAAGGGCTCCAGAGTTTCCTCAAGTTCCTTCTTGTGTTGTCGTGCAGCTTCATCGACGGGTCTGAATCTGTGGTTGGTGTGTTTTTCTGAATCTCTGCAGACGAGACAAACTGGCTGCTGATGGTCCAGACAGAAGAGTTTGAGTTTCTCAGAGTGCAGACTGCAGAGAGCCTCTGAAGTTCTCTGATCTCTCTCCTGTAAGAAACTCTCACACAGCTTCTTTAGAGCTAAGTTAGGAGGTACTAAGCCCTTTGAGTGTCTTCTCTTACAAACTGGACACTCACGTGCTGGTTTCTCTGTCCACCAGTTCTGCAGACAGTCTTTACAGAAGCTGTGGCTACATGACAGGATGACAGGATCTTTGAACATGTCACAGCAAACAGGGCAGCAGAGATCGTCCTCTAATCTGGAAGCCATTTTGTCTCTTAGTTACGCTGTGAACACAGCAGTCAGACAGCTCAGCCACTTCCTGTTCCTTTAGAGTTACTTTCACTTTGAGTCTTTGTTGCTGTAAAACTCTGGTTCAGTGTGAGCAGGTAAACCGCTGGTTTAAGTGGTGATATTCCAGTGTTCCCAGTGTTCCTCCTGCAGCTATTCCTCTGTCAGTGGACGTGGTGGTCTTGGTCCAATGATGCATCTTACTGTCCGTCTCTCAGTGTGTGTCTCAGTGAAGCAGAATGAAAATCAGTTTCCTGATTCTTGTCAGGTGAGGCAGGTGATGGGAGGAGCTTCATCAGGTTGAGTTTCATTCCACAAACATGTCTCTCCTCACTGTGTGCTACTTCTGTCTTTGTTGAATATGTAGTTCATTCACACAAACAATGTTCTATATAATCATGGAAACTAAAATCACTGGCTTTATTTTTCAAACTGCAGGTAACTGAAAATCATGCACTTTTCATCTCCTAAAAATGTCACTAACTAGATTTACACCTGGTACCACAGAGATTCTGATGATCACCATGACAACACCAATAATACCCACAAACCTTTCACCACCAACAAGATTCATTTTAATTTTAATATGTTTTACTGATATCTATCCAGCTGTAATTTACCAAGCAGAGGCCGTCGATGCTGAAGCGCCAAAAACTGCAGTTCCTCTAATGTCCACTTGATGCTGGCTCCAAGTGTGAGTCAATCCCCACAGAACCCCGCATTAAAATGTAGAAATAAACATGTTTACAGCCTGGTACAAAAACTGTTTTGGTCTCTACAGTCAATTTTAACATTCATGACAACTTTAACAGGGCTGGATTTTGATCTAACTCCTAAATGGCTAAAGTTACACATATTTAAGGGTAGGTCACTGTGAGTGGCCCCCTTGCAACTTGCAACTTGCAACTTGAAAATGCTGAACTCAAAGCTTCAAGAGTCCACAAGCTTATGATGACGTCACTGTAGCTACATCCATTATTTTTATTGTCTATGTAATTTACATATTATCACACAAAGCTGCAAACATCAGTCCAGAGATTCAAACATAGACCAGCAAAGATCACAGTCACCTTGAACATGACTAATGAGCTAACAGGGTTTTGGTCTCGTAATGGGCATTTTTTTTTATATAACTTGTTCCTTTAATGTATGGGTTGATTAATTTTATCCAGAGATATATCAGGTTCGAAAAAAGTCTTTGTCTTCTTCATTTAATTTCAGTTTGGGTTACCAAAGATACAAAACATCTTCCACACCAACAGACTTCTGGTTTAGGACTGAACTTAGAGCCTTGTGGTTCTTTGCCTCCGCGAATCCGTCAAGTTTCAGTAACAGTTTATATCCATGTCTGTGAAAAGATGATGATGTCACAGTAAAGCTGACCTTTGATGTTTTGGACGTAATATGTCATCACTTCACTATCTTTTCCTGTTAGACATTTGTGTCAAGTCTTGTCATAATTAGCGAATGAATTCTTGAGTTACGGCCAAAAACATGTTTTTTTAAAGTCACAGTGACCTTTGACCTTTGGCCACCAAATTCTAATCAGTTCATTGCTAAGTTTGTGCCAAATTTGAAGAAAATCCCTCAAGGCATGGAAGGATATTGCGTTAACGAGAAGGGGACAGTCCGACTGACACCCAGAATAGAAAATGCCTTCTGCCACGGCTAACTGCACTGCACCTGCACTGAGGTATAAACACATTTTGTGAAGTCACAGTGACCTTTCACCACCAAAACCTAATCAGTTCATTCTTGAGTCCAGTTGAATGTTTGTGCCAAATTTGAGGAAATCCCTTGAAGGCCTTATTGAGATTTTGCTTTCACAAGAATGAGTCGGATGAAAGGTCATAGTGACCTTGACCTTTGACCACCAAATTCAAATGAGTTAATTGTTGAGTTTAAGTGGAGGTTTGTGCTAAATTTGAAGAAATAATATCAAGTTCATGAGAATAGGCAAGACCAACGAACAACCCAACACATCCTCATCCCAACTCGTCAAATATCGCTGCCTGGTTGGTGCCGTTCACGTCCACATTTGATGTCCAAGGTACCCTGGGTGTGTTGGTTGTTGACGTTCTGGGACGCCGTGTCAACTTCAGCCTGTTACATGCATTGTCTGTTTTCAAAATACACTTTCATACATTTCATAGGAAATGTACAGTTTGCATAGTCCCTTTCAAAATAAAAGCAATACGTCGGTACAACACCGCCAACTGATGTTTATTTTACTTCAACAACACACACATGTGGTTGGGTTTAGAAAAATATAACAGGGTTTGACTTTACAATCTTTTGGGAAGCGAACAACAGTCTTCCAGGTAAAAGCTGGTGATTGTTGGACCTATCCACCGTGTGAACGGCTGTGAATCATGCCGATGTGAAGAACGGCTTTTTTTGTCCGTGTCTAATGTGAGAGGTCATCGACCAAGCGCTGGTATCTGCTGACTTTGGAGTGAGACCGGGTTATTCAACCACAATAATCTCCGGTGCAGAGACATAGAAACACCGCCCTCCAAAGAAAGCGCTCCCAGCTGGACGTGTTCAGGAGAGCACCTCATGTTTCAAGCTAGAAAAAAGATCTTTGGTGGATGATTTATGAAAGTAGGACCGGTGATTGTCCGACCAACTGACTTGGAAAAGTCTGGAGAAGTCATTATATGGAATATGATGGTTATTGAATTTTAATCCATGGACAGGTGGTGACACACACACACACACACACACACACACAGATGCAGTAATATAAAGTGATCTTTGACCTGCAGCGTTCATCTCATTTTTTGAGACCAAATCAAACATCGCGTCATCATCAACCTGCACATATCTTTGTCTCGTGAATCAGGACTGGAACTGGCTGTTCTGTCTTCAGACCACAGATGTTGTAAATACACAAAAATCGACTGAATATTTTCTGTATATTTATTTTTTAAATTAACCTGAAAACTAAGTGTTTAAAGTAGAGTATGTACTTTTTAAAGAGCTGTCCGCTCTGCATCTATCATTTTTTATTTTACTTAATTAAACATGGAAAAACAGATACTGTTCTGTTGACTCTGACTCCAGCAGGAGGTGCTGTTTCATACCTGTTTCATGCCTTATTACGAGGCTTCTATCGTAGAGTCAAAGAAGGAAACTAACCAAAGAAACCGCAGCGTCTGATCATATCATTACTACTCATCATGTATTTATTTTATTCCTACTGGAGCAGACACTTTGTTAGTAAAGGATCTGAATATTTCTTTCACCTCTGACTGTCAAATGAAAACTAAAATGTCCCGTCTCGTATCAGGTGACAGATGAGGCAGCAGAGTTCGGAGGAGGTTTACAGACTTCCTGCTGCAAAGCTGCACGTTTTAGGTCAGACGTTTCTGGTGTTTCTCAGCAGCTGATCCAACACCGATGTCACATTTTCTTTTTATACTTTTATTAATATACTTTATTTTATTCCTACTGGGATGGACATTTGATGTAATGGTGTATTAATTCTATTTATATTATCATTCTGTATTAGCTGGATTGCTGCATTGGTTTTGTTGAACAAAAAAAATTAAAAACATTTTTTTTTTAAATTATAAAACAAAATCCTGCAGTAAGACTAATTTGTCAAAAAAAAAAAATTTAAAAAAAAATTAATTTTCAAAAAACTAAAATAAAAAAGAAAATACTGTTACTAAAATAGAATAATTTTAAAATAAAATTTTATGTGGGAAAATACTTAAATAAAAACAAAACAATTAAAAAAAAATTCCAAATGAAATAAAACTGTTACTAAAAAAACTAATTAAAAAATTACAATTGTATGTAATAAAATACTTCTATAAAATAAAACAAAAAATATACTTCTATTAAAGAATACATTAAAAAAGAAAATATTGTTCCTAATTTAAAGTATAATTTAGAAAATGAAAATTATAGGTATAAAAAATAATGCTATAAAATAACAATAAAAAATAAATATATACTTCTTTCTTATGAGAATGATCTTAAAAAAAAAAGAAAATACCATTATTTAATGCAACTGTATAGACAACAACAAAAAAAAATACTTCTATAAAAAAGACAATTAAGAGAAAATTATAGAAACCAACAATACAAAAAAATAAAAACAAATATATATATTACCTAAAATAAGAATAATAAATAAAAGCTGTAAAATAGAAAATAAAGTATCTGCATAAAATTAAAAAAATATATATAAACCATAAAAAATGTGACAAAAATAAAACAAGAGCACAAAAGTCGCTAGAAAAATAGATTTTAAAAAAAACTAACTGCATAAATAATTGTCTAAAGACAACTAAAATAAGCCTCCCAAAGGGTGACGGTGACTCCATGTTTTTATTCTTTTTCAAGCAGTCGTCTCATCCTATAACTCACTGTGGCCCTCAGCTACGGCAGCCTGTAATTAACATAAATAATTAAGTCACGTTTTCCCACGAGAGCAGCGAGCTGCTGATCGGAGCAGAGAGCAGTGACGAGTTCATCCATCAACACACTGCCATAATAAAACTGCTGCAGAGTGTGTGTGTGTATGTGTGTGTGTGTGTGTGTGTGTGTAAGGAAATCTCAGCAGGTAAACAGCTGATCAACATTCCCATCAGCCCCTGCAGCTTTGTTTATGGTCATTTTCTGGAAACACTGCAGACTACTGATTATCCCTTCAGGCTCCAGCTGCTGCAGGCTGTGTGTTCGTGTGTGTGTGTGTGTGTGTGTGTGTGTTCTTTATGGGTGTGTCTTTCTGTGGTCAGTGTTTCCAAACCCTTTTTATGTGCCACGCCACACTAGTTTAAAAAAAATCCCAGTCACACCACCGTCCCAGTAACCAGTGACGACACCACAGCTTGTTCTAAACATGAAGCTGGTGATGAAGCAACAAAGTGACGGTCAGCTGCTCTCAGACAAACTACACACTACAATACTTCTTACTCCGAACACAAAACAGGTGATTCTAATTCAACAAAGCACAGTGTGTGTGTGTGTGT